TGCCTGTGTGCAAAATCTTTAGTGTAGTGGCTAGCGTACGTGCCTGGTTCAATTGTTACCCAACGATGATGTTTCCGTATTTGCTCCTGAATCACAAGAAGGCGCACTTTTTACATGATTATACCTGAATTGCTATTGATTGGTACATTAAGGCTCTTCTCCACCAAATACGCGTTCAAAGAAAACGCCACAAAATCGGACTAAAAAGCGTCGCCTGGTGGCTCTCAGAAGCAGGGTGGCAACGTGTTTCTAACTGGAAAATAAAGATTGCGACCTCGAGGACAACTTTCTTTCCAAGGAGTTCGTACTCCAAGACTTCAAAAGTAAACTGATGGTCGCCGCGCTCGAAAGCTACAATAGAAAGCACCTGGCGCCAGCTTGCTCAGTTGCTCACTACGCTAATCTCGACACAATAGAGATCCGCGCTCACTAATGCCAAAAAAAGGAGTTTGCATGGCTTCGTAGACAGTACCTTGGTAAATACGCATGCGCAGTTGTCATACATCGCTAAAACTGAATGATTTTCAAGTGTTTGTTCGGAGTTGGCTAAGACTGGCTAACAATGTGGTCAACCTCACTGAAACAATCATTTCATGAAGAACAAAATGCTCTGTACCTTTAGTGTGAAAACTTGTGAAATTTTCCAAAAAACACATTTCATCAATGATATATTGCCAATTAAAATGTCTGAAAATACATGAAATCTTATCTGAAAGAAATCCAATTTATCTCCAAACTACAGGGACAGATAACTGTACCTTTAGTGTGAAAACTTGTGAAATTTTCCAAAAAACACATTTCATCAATGATATATTGCCAATTAAAATGTCTGAAAATACATGAAAACTTATCTGAAAGAAATCCAATTTATCTCCAAACTACAGGGACAGATAACGCTTTTAAGCACCAACAACTGCACATTGCTAACTTGAGTTCATAACTCACATCTAACAACTGCGCAGTTGTAAAAACCTATCTTGTCGTAAAATATATTTTTTCAAAAAAGAGCAGCGACGTGACATGACTTATTATGCAGCATATAGGGAGGTTGTTGGTTACCAACTATAAAGGCGGCGACGATCATCGTGTTCAAAGGCCGCTGGCATTCACGCTTTGAATGGTCGAGGCTTGCGGTCACAGTGCTGTAGCTATAGACATTCCCGAGGGATTGGAATGTTAATGGTCAAAATGTAAATCGCCCAAGAGTTCTGACTCCTTGGGTCCTTGCTCTATGGTTGGACGTACTCAAACTAAATATTTTTGGGTTTACATTCATCATACAAAAATTGCTTTTTGAAACAAAGTGACAAGGGGACAGAACAAACTTGCAAAGGGCGAGACGCAAAAAGCTGGTGTTTTTTGTGTGTTTATGCCTGCTTGGTATGCATTTTGTCTATAGTATATCCCTGAATAACAATGCAGTTATAGCCGTTTGTTTTATGATGTTTACCCGGAGCTCTGTTGGTCTAAACTAAGAACCTAGAGTATTGACATAGAGCGATATTATCTGAGAATGCCCACTGCAATCAAAGTGTCGAACTTTGGTATAAATAAGTGTGGCATTGTGTATGGGAGGGTGACAAGATTGCATATCTATACCCTGTCGTAAACGTTCAAGGCCATATAACCAATGAATAAGTACAACGCACAACGTGATACTGAACATGTCTAGGATGATTTCAAAATTGGCAAAATAAGATTTGGGACATTCTGCTCTAAACCTTTGGGAATTTGTCTAAAAAAAACAAATTTATGCTATATTTTAGAGTTTCAGCCTGAAAATGAACTTTAAAAAATTTTTTTTCTTGAAATACAAAAGTTATTTCTTTTGACTGAGACATCGAATGACACCAGTTTGGCCTGTGTTGGTTATGAAGTAATTGGTTCACAATTTCTGCTTTTTTTGCGGCATGACAACAACTCAGTTATCCCAGTATAGACTGGTTTCCGCCCCTGTTTGAAACTAGAGGGATAGGAAACCAGTCTACTCGCGAGGGCTGATCTGTGGAAACTTTGTTTGGGGAAGACAATGTACAGGACATTTTGACGCAAACTTAACACTCATTTTAGGAGATTAAAACGTTTATTTTTTTCACAAAATTTGACAGTATAAGACGGTTGAACACAACATGTATTACGTATCTCTCGGTTGAAGAACAAAATTGGAGAAGCAAAGTTATTTTTTACAAATGGAATCATGAACATTCACTCATCGGATATTTGAATATCTAAAGAGAACTTACGGTTTCAGGTGCCAAAATGTGTTCACATCTGCCCGTGTGAGAAATCGTCGAATCAGAGCAACTTCAAATCAGGAATAAGGTAAACCTTGCTTCGATTTACCACTACTTCTGTCTTTGGACTTTTCTAGTCAGCTATTTGGAGCCGGAGCCGGAACATAGTTCTATCGCTGGTTACCAATAACCGCGCGCATCATGACGCACAGCAGGGAGCCAGTGCCCAGATGTTTCAGTGTTTGATAGGGGGCGTTCACACGTTGCTATTAGTGCGCAGGCGTAGGTTACACCACGAATCAACCATTAGTTGACTCTGGCTTGGCTGACGTAATTGATAAAGTAAGGTGACGTCCAGTTCTTTGTTGCCAAATAACGAGAGGGCGCTCTTTCATTCTATGATCATACCAGGATGCTAACACATGGGCCAAACATTATATTGCACCGGTCTGAGTTCACTAGCGCTACATCCTCACTCTAACTGCATTTTTAATTGAGACATGTAATGTTATACTTATGTCCTGAAAAAAAGTTGTGAAGAATTGAAATATATCGGGGTCATCTACCGCCGTGGCCAATGAACTTTTGTTTAGGGCGCATGTGTCGTGCGCGGCGAAAGAGTTGGACCTCAATTACATAGCAAGACATTTTGTTCAGCAGGACGATGTCATTAAGTTTATTGAACAGATTATAACAAATGTTCGAGGAAGTTTGTTACTTTTAGGTTGATGCAATGCATTTTAATATAACAAGTTCTTAACAGTTTAAACCTGTTTATACAAAATCATCACCGCAGCTGAAACCCTTCAACCCAAGAAAAATAAACATCATTTAAAGTTAAAGTCTATTAACATTAAATTTATCTTTCATTCACAGAGCGAAAACATTATATTAGAATCCTATTTATATATAGATTTTCTAAGCAGAACTTAGTCCTAAGCAGCTATTGCAATAATGTGCTAAGCGTAAACTGTTTGGGAGCAGACCCAAGCGATATATAATGGATAATATTTTAGCGAATATCTTCTCACAAAATCTACATGCTTCGAAGCTCCACGAAGTGTGCTTGTCTACAAAGCAATTCGTCTTCCTTCTTTATACTATTATGCCCTCACCTTTTGGAATATATACACACGGGATAATTATTGCAATATTTACTACATCTTTCAGTGACTTATAAAGCAGTAATCTTGGTTATTGTATACAATTGCAGCTAGTACAAAATGCAAATCTTTGTCTTCCTCCCTTCATGTCTTCATTTCCATTTTACTTATTTCCAACGTGGATGGCTCTATTGAAAGGTTGTGTATGTGATAACACATTGGTGCACAGTATGACCAAAACCGAGTTATATCGAAAAGGTGTAAGGATATCTTTCATTGCTGGAGTAAACGGCCTTGTATTGGCTGTGACGTCTGGACTCGCTTATTGTGGATGGTCGTGTACATGTACATTGTTATTTCTGTGTCACACTAAATACATATATGCACTCAGTACTACAGTTCTGTTTATACCTAAAATATATCCAGCTGGTCTTTAAAAAATATTCTGGTCTTTAAAACTACACTACGAATGCTCTACATATGAACATGCTAATTTTGCCTGACATTATCATAATTCAAAAAGCGAAAATGAGAATCTGACATGAATGTTGTAGTGCACAACATACTTCTTCAATTTCATTCTTGAAAAAAGTCATACAATAGTTATTATTTTTGCTCTGTTTTCCCACTCAACTGATTTTTCCCCTTTCAATTGACACTTGGGATAATAATTTCTCTGGATTTACAACCTCGTTTTTTATACCATTCAGGTGTTAAATATTTGTACAGTAACATTCAAATCCAGTCTATTTTTGCCACTTCTAAAAGTTTGCAATTATCTTGTCTCAACTGCTCGTCTCGTGTGTTTAATCTAAGATTTCAATGGTATTCTATTTGTTGAGTATAAGTTCATGAAAAGCCTTATGTTTTGACTGATACAATTAATTGAAAAGCGGTCAACAAATGTTTGTTCCTTCGTGCAACTACATAATCTTCCATACACAAATAAACTACCAAATGCGAAATTGGGAATGAGCTTATAATTCTTGACTGGCTCCCGTCCCTCCCTTAAACGATTAAACAGTGGTTGGATCGGGAACCAGCCACAATGACCTATCATTATTTGGCAACGCACTGCCTTCTTATGTACATGCGTGTTCTAATTCTAATCTAACAATTAAACGCTGTTAATGTTGTATTCAGGTTTCAGGTTTAATCATCGAACAAACCGTTTGATTAAAATCTTTTTTACCCCTTGGCTAGACATATAATCCAGGCGTATCCTTTTCTGATTTTTGTAAAACGTTCTTGTTAACTCTTATGTACAAATACTAGTATAATGTCTTTTTTCCCCTCTATCTCCACAAACACATTTGGGTCCAATCAACAGCACAAATAGTTTCCAAAGGCCGATATGCAGACTATACTTACACGTTTTATGGACATCAATTTGATTATTTACAGTTTCAAAACTGGAGCACTTCGCTTTTTATGGTTGCTTTAGTTGGTGGTCTTCCACCTGTTTCATTCATTGTTGCAGTTTGCATTTACTCTTTGTTAATTATACTGATGAACTTGAATGTGATAAGCGTTAGAGAAAGCAGATGGAACCTTTTTTTCTACCCACTTTTGCTGCCTGACCTACAGAAGCTAGCACACTGAGCCCGGCACTTTCAGAATAGCCCCAACGCCGATGGATTGATTATCAAGCGTTTCAAACAGTCTAAAGTTTAACCTGTTGCTCGATACACCTTGCCAATCTCGGCCAGTCAACAGCACCTGTTGCATCAAGGTGCTCGAGTGTTTTGAGCACCAGTGGCATTACCCTGTCTTCATAGAGAACAGGAACCACCAGCCGATCACTGTCCAGTGCCATAAGCATACCCCTGACGTCATTATTGTTGGTTTCGAAGTCCGCGGTAATTACAATAATGACACAGACACTGTCCTCAATGCTGTCTGAGTAGTTTTGTAGCCTGGGTTTGCCGAGTTCGAAGTCACGATCTTTGATACAGCCTTTAAAACCGCTTTCTTCCAGTTCTTCTAGCATGCGGTGTTGCACCCATTCAGAGGCACTACTGCTGTAGATGACAAAGAAGTCATACTTTCGTGTCAGATTATTTTGCGGTCTTTCAAGAGCCTCGCGGACGTTCTTCTTGGAGACGACCTCAGTTGGTGGTTCCTCAAGAGACGGCATCGTGGCTACGTGCTGCGTTTTGCCGGTTTTGAGGTTCACAGAGTATGTGATGTGGATCGTGTCGGGAGGAATATGATGCTCCTCATTTCCATCAAGGTCTACTTGAGACAGCGATTCAGACAAAGTCTGGATATCTCTGTCTATTTTGTCAGGGATGGGACGTGCGGGTGCTGCTGATGCCCCTTGGGATTCCCTCAGATACTCTGCATTAATGTTGTCCCCGGTTCTGTCGGATAGTTCTTCCCCCTGTGCTCTTGATGTCGGTTGGACGTACCTACTGCTGGCCGGCAAGCTGTGCTGTCGTCTTGTTACTGATGGAGGGAGGGATCCATCTTCGACTGACACAGGAAGTGAAAGCTGCCGCTTAGCACGAGTTTGTCTCTTATACTGAATATCATGAGATAGCGAAGATGCGTCACAAAAACTACTCGCTGCATCCCCAACATTACTTGCTGAAGGAAAGCTCCGATTTTGTCCTTGCTCTGACGTTGGAGGGACGTCACTGTCGTGGGGTGAAGAAAGGGGGTGCTGTAACCGAGAACTCCTCCTCTTGTCAATGGCAGCTGACTCTATGACCTCAAGTTCCTTCTCGTAATCGTTATCTTTACAGTACTTGACAAAGATTTCCCAGTGGTCGCGCATCTGCTTGAGTTTGTTCAGCTGCCAAAGATCCCAATCAGTTGACAGGCAAACTTCGGCTACTTTTTGCAACCAGTACACCATGTCAGCCAGCAAAGGAAGATCTTCCCTTAGAGCTAAATGGTTATCCGGTAAGATATGTTTGTACTCTAGCACTAGAGCACCGACACTACCCCCGTGGTAGGAAGCCGCGATTTCACATTCAACTGCTCGCTTGTATGAACCAAAAGCCGCCTGATGCTCCCCCATGACACAGAGACACATGCCTCTTACTTTATGGACATTCCCTCTTTTCGAACCATCTGCAATTTCAACGGCTTTGGCGCAGTATGTTAGAGCTTGCTGCAGAAGTCTTTCGCTTCCATATCTCAACCGCCCGTAACAATCGGTTGCCAAGTAATACAATACTTCTGCCATCAATTCTGTGAACCAGGGTTTAGAAACGTCTTTGATGGCAAACGAGAGGTCTTCTTTAGCTCGTGTCAGTAAGGTATCATCTGGACATTGCGCCATGGGATCGCGAGATTTCTGGGAGTATTTGAGTTGCTGCTTGTATTGGGAGAGGTATATATTTGCTCTGTCATAGCGCACCTGGAGATTGAACTCTGAGTCACCCAGCTCAATTGCTCTGTCAAGCAAAGACAGAGCTTTGGTCTGGTCTTTCTTAATGAAGTGCGTTGCCCGTCTGGTGAGAACTTTTGGATTATTTGGGGAAAGAGACAAAGCTTTTTCAAAGCATTTGTCCGGTTCGTCCACGAATTCTCGGTAAGTTTCAGGGATGGGCGGAAGCAGATCTCTCGAATGGTAGAAAAGGTCTCCGAGACGTCTCCAAGCTTTAATTTTCCGATCCTCATCCTCGTTGAACTGAATGATTGTGATAAAATTGTTGACTGCACCTTGGTAAAACTTTTTGACTTCAACTTTTTTGGACTTGTCCCACTTTATCCTTCCGTAGATTGATTTACAAGCCAACCCGGACTCGAAGATCCAGGCTGCACGCTCGGATTGTGCGACGTCCTTCCCTGCAAGCTCAATCGCTGCCTGATGCAAAGCAAATGCTTTCCGATACCTGTCGGTGGCCATAAATCCATAGATTTCGTTTGTTAAGGCGAATGCCTGTTCAAAAAAACTTCGAGCCCGTAGCTTTCTCAGTCGCCTCTTTCCTTCTTCTGTAACACCCTCGCCAAGGAGCCTTGCAATCTTCTGCTCGCAATCTCGGGCCTCGGTTAGTCTGTACAGTTTCTCGCAGATGTACTTGCGGTTTGCCAGAGCATTCAAATTATCAGGGTCTTCGTTAGGAGAGAGGACTTTATCCAGGTACTGCAAAGCTTCTTCAAACTTACCAAGCCGAAAGGCAAGCATCCCAAGAAGATTCCAGGAGGCATAATGCTCAGGTCGGCTTTCAGTGAAACGACCGAGCTTTCCGTTTGTTTTTGTAAACAAACGTTCAGCCGCCTTCATATCGATGTTGCCTTTATTTAGCGTCAAAGGAAGGCGAAAGTGACCAAACTCATCCGCAGACGACATGGTTGCAGTCAGACTCTGTGTGAAATAAAACAAGGATCCGATTTTGTCTGCTTGAGATCTTATCTGCTTGAGATAAAAGCACTTGTCTATCATATCCCACGCAGTTATTACGAAAGGTACGTTAATTGTCCTTTGTATTTGAATCGAATAAAAGATTCAAAGGAATTTCGACAGGAACGAAGACATTTTTCCTCTCAGCTTTATTTTGTTTTCCACTCATGACTAGGTACGTACGCAAATCACTTCCAGGGAAATTGTTAATTTGAAATTGGGTTCAGCTCTTACATCCGAGTTAAAAATCACATACGCTTTTGACAGTTCTATGGCACGGTGTTGGACGTGCATGTACATTTTAGACAAGTCAACAGTGTGTGTAAGAATACTTATAATAATAAAAGGAGTTTAATTCTGATAAAATGTATCAGTTAGTGATAACAAATTATTCATCCAACTTGTTTTGCGGTAGTAGATAAAGAGTCGGAACGCCATTGAGTCGGACGTACTCAAACTAAATATTTTTGGGTTTACATTCATGTACAAAAATTGCTTTTTGAAACAAAGTGACATGAGAACAGAACAAACTTGCAAAGGGCGGGACGCACAATGCTGGTTTTTTCTTGTGTGTTTATGCCTGCTTGGTATGCATTTTGTCTATAGTATATCCCTGAATAAAAATGCAATAAGCGGTTTGTTTTACATAATGATGTTTACCCGGAGCTCTGTTGGATTAAACTATGAACCTAGAGTATTGATATAGAGCGATATTATCTGAGAATGCTCACTGCACTCAATGTGTCGAACTTTGGTATAAATCAGTGTGGCATTGTGCATAGGAGGATGACAAGATTGCATATCTATACCCTGTCGTAAAAGTTAACAGGCTATATTACCAATGAATAAGTACAACGCACAACGTGATACTGAACATGTATAGGATGATTTCAAAATAGGTAGAATGAGATTTTGGACATTCTGTTCTAAACCTTTGGGAATTTGCCTAAAAAAAGCAAATCATGCTATATTTTAGAGTATCAGCCTGAAAAATTGAACTGAAATTTTTTTTTCTTGAAATACAAAAGTTTTTACTTTTGACTGAGACATCGAATGACATCAATTTGGCCTGTGTTGGTTATGAAGTAATTGGTTCACAATTTCTGCTTTTTTGGCGGCATGACAATAACTCAGTTATCCCAGTATAGACTGGTTTCCGCCCATGTTTGAAACAAGAGGGATAGGAAACCAGTCTACTCGCGAGGGCTGATCTGTGGAAACTTTGTTTGGGGAAGAGAACGTACAGGACATTTTGACGCAAACCTAACACTCAATTTAGGAGATTAAAACGTTTATTATTCACTCAAAATTGGACAGTATAAGACGGTTGAACATAACATGTATTACGTATCTCTCGGTTGAAGAACAAAATTGGAGAAGCAAAGTTATTTTTTACAACTGGAATCATGAACATTCACTCATCGGATATTTGAATATCTAAAGAGAACTTACGGTTTCAGGTGCCAAAATGTGTTCACATCTGCCCGTGTGAGAAATCGTCGAATCAGAACAACTTCAAGTCAGGAATAAGGTGAACCTTACTTCGATTTACCGCTACTTCTGTCTTCTTCTGACTTTTCTAGTCAGCTTTTTGGAGCCGGAGCCGGAAAATAGTTCTATCGCTGGTAACCAATAACCGCGCGCATCACAATGCACAGCAGGGAGTCAGGACCCAGATGATTCAGCGTTTGATAGGGGGCGTTCACATGTCGCTATTAGTGCGCAGGCGTAGGTTACGCCACGAACCAACCATTAGTCGACTTTGGCTTGGCTGACGTAATTGATAAAGTAAGGTGACGTCCAGTTCTTTGTTGCCAAATAACGAGAGGGCGCTCTTTCATTCTATGATTATACCAGGATGCTAACACATGGGCGAAACATTATTTTTCATCGGTCTGAGTTCACGAGCACAACATCCTCACTCTATCCGCATTTTAGATAGACCAAAGTTTTTATTATATCCTAAAGTTTTGAAGTTATCCATATGTTTTGAAGAATTGAAATACATTGTGGTCATCCTACCGCCATGGCCAATGAACTTTTGTTTCGGGCGTATGTGTCGTACGCACGAAAGAGTTACATGTTAGCAGGACGATGACATAAAGTTTAGTGAACAGATTATTACAAATGTTCGAGGAAGTTGGTTACTTTTAGGTTGATGTAGTGCTTTTTAGTATAACAAGTTCTAAACATTTCAAACCTGTTGATACAAAATCATCTCTGCAGCTAAAGTCCTTTATCCCAAGAAAAACATGCATCATTTCAAAGTTAATGTTTATTTAAATTAAATTAATCGGCGATTCACAGAGCACGAACATTATATTAGAATCCTATTTATCCTATTTATATATGGATCTTGTAAGAAGAACTTATTCCTATTGCAATAATGTGCTAAGCGTTAACAGTTTGGGAGCAGACACAAGCGATATCTAATGGATAATATTTTAGCGATTATCTTCTTTCAAAATCTACATGCTACGAAGCTCCACGAAGTGTGCTTGTCTACAAAGCAATCTGTCTTCCTTCTTTATACTATTATGCCCTCACCTTTTGGAATATATACACACGGGATAATTATTGCAATATTTACTACATCTTTCAGTGACTTATAAAGCAGTAATCTTGGTTATTGTATACAATGCAGCTAGTACAAAATGCAAATCGTTGTCTTGATCACATGTAATATTTGTTTCAAACTTCCATTTTACTTATTTCCAACGTGGATGGATCTATTGAAAGGTTGTGTATGTGATAACACATTGGTGCACAGTATGACCAAAACCGAGTTATATCGAAAAGGTGTAAGGATATCTTTCAGTGCTAGAGTAAACGGCCTTGTATTGGCTGTGACGTCTGGACTCGCTTATTGTGGATGGTCGTGTACATATACATTGTTATTTCTGTGTCACACTAAATACATATATACACTCAGTACTACAGTTCTGTTTATACCTAAAATATATCCAGCTGGTCTTTAAGAAATATGCTGGTCTTTAAAACTACACTTCGAATGCTTTACGTATGAATATGCCAATTTTGCCTGACATTATCATAATTCAAAAAGCGAAAATGAGAATCTGACATGAATGTTGTAGTGCGCAACATACTTCTTCAATTTCATTCTTGAAAAAAACGTCATACAATAGTTATTATTTTTGCCCTGTTTTCCTACTCAACTGATTTTTTCCCTTTCAATTGACACTTGGGAAAATAATTTCTCTTGATTTACAACCTCGTTTTTATACCATTCAAGTGTTATATATTTGTACAGTAACATTCAAATCCGGTCTATTTTTGCCACTTCTAAAGGTTTGCAATTATCTTGTCTCAACTGCTCGTCTCGTGTGTTTTATCTAAGATTTCAATGGTATTCTATTTGTTGAGTATAAGTTCATGAAAAGCCTTTTGTTTGGACTGATAAAATTAATTGAAAAGCGGTCAACAAATGTTTGTTCCTTCGTGCAACTACATAATCTTCCATACACAAATAAACTACCAAATGCGAAATTGGGAATGAGCTATATGCGCTTATAATTCTTGACTGGCTCCCGTCCCTCCCTTAAACGATTAAACAGTGGTTGGATTGGGAACCAGCCACAATTACTTATCATTATTTGGCAACGCACTGCCTTCTTATGTACATGCGTGTTATAATTCTAATCTAACAATTAAACGCTGTTAATGTTGTATTCAGGTTTCAGGTTTAATCATCGAACAAACCGTTTGATTAAAATCTTTTTTCCCCCTTGGCTAGACATATAATCCAGGCGTATCCTTTTCTGATTTTTGTAAAACGTTCTTGTTAACTCTTATGTACAAATACTAGTATTGTCTTTTTTTCTCTATCTCCACAAACACATTTGGGTCCAATCAACAGCACAAATAGTTTCCAAAGGCCGATATGCAGACTATATTTACACGTTTTATGGACATCAATTTGATTATTTACAGTTTCAAAACTGGAGCACTTCGCTTTTTATGGTTGCTTTAGTTGGTGGTCTTCCACCTGTTTCATTCATTGTTGCAGTTTGCATTTACTCTTTGATAATTACACTGATGAACTTGAATGTGATAAGCGTTAGAGAAAGCAGATGGAACCTTTTTTCTAGCCACTTTTGCTGCCTGACCTACAGAAGCGTGTACACTGAGCCCGGCACTTTCAGAATAGCCCCAACGCCGATGGATTGATTATCAAACGTTTCAAACAGTCTAGAGTTTAACCTGTTGCTCAATACACCTTGCCAATCTCGGCCAGTCCACAGCACCTGTTGCATCAAGGTGCTCGAGTGTTTTGAGCACCGGTGGCATGACCCTGTCTTCACGGAGAACAGGGATAACCAGCCGATCACTGTCCAGTGCCATAAGCATACCCCTGACGTCATAATTGTTGGTTTCGAAGTCCCTGGTGAGTACAATAATGACACAGACACTATCCTTAATGTTGTCTGTGTAGTTATCGTTCCTGGGTTTGCCGAGTTCGAAGTCGCGATCTTTGATGCAGCCTTTAAAACCGCTTTCTTCCAGTTCTTCCAGCATGCGGTGTTGCACCCATTCAGAGGCACTACTGCTGTAGATGACGAAGAAGTCATACTTTCGTCTCAGATTATTTTGCGGTCTTTTAAGAGCCTCGCGGACGTCCTTTTTGGAGACGACTTCAGTTGGTGGTTCCTCAGGAGACGGCCTCGTGGCTACGTGCTGCGTTTTTCCGGTTTTGAGGTTCACCGAGTATGTGATGTGGACCGTGTCGGGAGGAATATGATGCTCCTCATTCCCATCAAGGTCTACTTGAGACAGGGATTCAGACACAGTCTTGGTATCTCTGTCAATTTTGTCAGGGATGGGACGTGCGGGTGCTGCTGATGCCCTTTGGGATTCCCTCAGATACTCTGCATTAACGTTGTCTCCGGTTTTGTCGGATAGTTGTTCCCTCTGTGCTCTTGATGTCGGTT